CATTTTTACGTCACATAAAAAAATTTTTTTGAAGACTTTAAAAAAAAATATTTTTTTGTTTATTCTATTCTTTTTCTTCCTTCTTTTAGATTTCCTTTATACTTACAAACTGTTGGTCTTCATAGCAGGTAGCCAATTTCTTAAAACGTTTATTTATATTGGCTCTGGTGTTGCGATGCTTTTACTTAAACAACTGCACCGCTTTATCTGATAATTCGTATAACGGTAGTTTTAAGCTGTATTTGCCATAGCATATTCAACCTTGACTATAAAACTGGGCCGCTTGGGACGCACAAATTAAGCAAAACCTTAGGAGAAAAACCAATTCTTGATGAAAGATAACGTAATTAGTCCTTCCGTTTACAGAGGTGGAAAATAAGAAGACAAAAATTAAGACAAAATGACCTTTATTTCTAAAAGATGAAGAAACTGGGAAGCCCGGAAAAAAGCCTATTTTAAAAAATTCTATAGTTTATTCAATTTTACTTTGCCACTTTGTTGGCAAAAGCTGTTAAGTAACAATAACAAAATATGGTCCTATTCTGACTGCTAACTACGTAGCAGAAGGAGAAGAGCTTCTTCTATGTTGGTCTTCATATTTGCTGGAACAATTCTTTATCGTCATAAGGCCGTTCGTGCCCTTTCCTACGCCGTGACGCAGAATTCCTTATTTATTTCGACCAACGTAACGAACGATTATAAATAAATATTACTCGGCAACTTACAAAGCATTGTCACTAGCATTCATCAATTGATGATACTGGGCTATTTTTTTTTGTAAAGACAACGACAGAAGTGCATAATAACAGCTTGCTAAAAGCCGGGTCTCAATTGCTGCTATATCAGCAAAGCTATGTGTTCATCGTACAGTTGGAGAATTTGATCTGTTAATAATTGCGCATATAAAAATATCTCCAACAGTAGTCGGTTAATATTATCGTTGCTTTATTTCATTATTTGCTTCAATACAACAGTAGCTTCTGCAAAAAATAAATAGCAGTTTATTGGCAGATTAAATTCAATATATTCTTGTCGTCTGTCTTCTTTCCTCCAAGTAAAAAAGTATCATAGTGTTTGAAGAGTTGTTCGCTTTTGTAATGCCATATTTATCATACTGATCTCGCAATGTTAACTGTATGAAATTGCAACAGTTAGAAAAACTTGGTTTTCAGAAATTGTTCGAAACATGTCTTTGGCTGTTCTTATGTTGTCATTACAAAAACTGTTGTCAGGGTTTCAAGAAAGTGAGAGGTAAAAAAGCTAAGAATGATTTTGACAATCTGGTTGGAATTTTTTGACATCAAAGTGCTGCCTGCAAAAATTAAAAGAATTATGTATATTTGATTGTTAAGGGTTGTGTTTTATAATTTTTGGTAGGATAAGGCAACTGGTTGTAACTTTGATTGGCAATCAGTATTGCTCAGTCTGCCTCAGTTCCGAATTGCGCATATTTGAAAAATAGTTTTTTATTTGAAAACACTTTCTCTAAAATATTTTTTTCGTTACCAAAATTGAAGAATGTTGTAAAGAAATATTACAACGCATAATTGCAAGAAAAAGGCAAGTTTGATTAAATAAAGGAACAAGGAAGGTGTCATAGTAATCCAAAAAAGTCAAAGTGTTTAGCATATATGAAAAGATTTGTTGATCAGTCTGTTGTCTTTAAATCACTGCTCAAACGAAAAAACTATAATACACTGTCATCGTTTGTCCGTTATTAGTTTAATGTATAAAATCATATTGAGATACTCTTTGTTTGTAACATTTATGGAAACGTTTATATAGCAAAAAAAAA